CTGGGGGCCAGTGGAGGGCAGGGCTATCCCTCAGCAGCACTGGCTACCTAACTCCCTTTGCTAATTAGCTGGTAAAGGAACATCGGAAGGTCCGCCATCGCTCTACACCTCAGAAGTTCAGGGGTTCTGCTCCAAGGATGTGACTACAGGAGCTCATCCGTGGAGCCTCTCTGGGGTTACACTCCTTCGAACACGAGTTAGCGTAAATTTTTACATTTTAAAAATAAAATTTGAGACATGATGGTTTCATCAAAGTTAAACGGGCTTTTTTGATGCATGACTTCTGGGAGCCTCTGATATCAGTTTCTAAGAGTGGTACATGGAGTACAGGGATCCCCAAATTTACCTGGGCACAGAATTCCTTGTTAAAAAAGAATCATAAGGGATAACTGTTCGGCGGGACACACTCTGAGAAGCACTCCACCAGGAGCATCCTATTCTCTTTATAGCTAGCTTTATAATCACTCGCTGTAACCATAACACCCCAAAAATCAGACAACAAGAAATAAAAAGCAAAATCTGGATTGAAGCTGTGAAATTTCCTATCCCTACAAGCCAACATAGCTATTTCTTTATCTCGTTTTATCTTCATATTGCTTTAAGCGCTTTCCATGGGAAGTTCAACATTTTTATCCTTATAGTTGACGCTTTCCACACTTCTAGCACCTTCTATATTTATCTTCATTAACACTGTGTTATAGGATAGTCTTGCCTCCTTTCCTGCTAAACTTTGTCCACTATGATGATTAAAATTAGAAAGTGGTGTTTGCTAGTTTCCCTGCAAAACCCACAATGCCAGACCCACCTTCCCTTCTTCACGGGCACATACGTAGTGGCTCAGCCTAACTGTGGTCTTGTAACTAACTTCTCAGCAAACTTAGAGCTGAAGTGATCTGTACCACAGCGGTCTCACTTGCTTAAGAGGAACATTGCTGGGACACCTGGGTGGCTGGCCCAGTCGCTGGAGTGTGCAACTCTTGATCTTGGGGTTGTGAATTCAAGCCCCATATTAGGCATGGAGCCTACTTTAAAAAAAAAAAAAAAAAAAAGGAACATTGTTTGATTTAAAGTTTTGGTTTTTCTTCCCCTGTCCCTCGTGCCGGAACACAGTGTTCACAAAGATGATAATATCTTAGGGCTGGCAGAAAATTCAAAAGAATGGTACCCGAATGATGGCTCAGAGCAGAGTCCTTCCACCAACACAGACCAGTTACCTTGAGACTTTTAGACGTGAGAAATACATTTTCATCTTTAACGAAGGGACTGTATTTTGACTCTCCTTAACACAGTAATTTGACATTTATTGTCATTAACACAGTGTCAATAAGAATATTACAGCTTATGGTACACTCACATATATTATTTTTGTAAGCCCATTTTTGCTTTGATTTTTTTGTTTGTTCTTACTTTTTGTAAGTAATTTATGTCTTCTAGCATGTATTAATCTGAACATTGAAAATTAAGGCTTTATGTGTTGATTATATCTCAAGCTAGGGGGAAGAAAACTAAGGCTAAGTATGGCAATAAATATCAGCTCATTATTTTGTTCTGTTTTCCTAACGCTTTCAAGCTACACCCTGAGTTATCTAAAGAAGATTCCTTTTTGGGGTGCCTGAGTGGCTCAGTGGGTTAAAGCCTCTGCCTTTGGCTCAGGTTGTGGTCTTGGGGTCCTGGGATCGAGTCCCGCATGGGGCTCTCTGCTTGGCGGGGAGCCTGATTCCTCCTCTCTCTTTCTGCCTGCCTCTCTGCCTACTTGTGATCTCTCTGTCAAATAAATAAACAATATATTGGGCACCTGGGTGGCTCAGTGGGTTAAGCCGCTGCCTTCAGCTCGGGTCATGATCTCCGGGTCCTGGGATCGAGTGCCGCATCGGGCTCTCTGCTCAGTGGGGAGCCTGCTTCCCTCTCTCTCTCTGCCTGCCTCTCTGCTTGTGATCTCTCTCTGTCAAATAAATAAATAAAATCTTAAAAAAAAAAGAAATAAATAAACAATATCTTAAAAAAAAAAGAAGATTCCTTTTTGCTAATTTGTAGCCAATCAATAATAAACCTTCAAATATAAAATTTCCCATGAATTCCTAATGATATGATATGGCTAATATCTTCATGAACTCCAGTACCTTGCTATGAAATAAAATGTGTAGGGTATTTACTATTCAAAATGTATCTTTTTTCTTAGATAAAGATACAGAATGATTTAACAATGGTTGTTTTATATGGTGAAAAATTCTGCTAAACAGAAAAGCAAGTATTTGGAGGTAGCTACTGAAATACATATGTATTTATGAATATAACTTTGGTAAAGAGCCAGACAAAACAAAGCATGACTCATTGTCAGTAAACATTCCCTAAATGTCCTTGTATTATTATGGGAGAGGTACTGTCTGGTTTTAATAATGTATATACAACGAATTACTATTTACATGTGCTCAAAGGCATTAAAAACAATGATCTACTTAGCAGAAAGGACTTTAAACTCTGACAAATTAATTATCCTTAACTATCTTGTCAATTAGTTGAGGGGCAACTTTTTAGGAAATGATTAAATACAATAAGATTTTACTACTTACGTTTCTTGTAGTTGCAACTTACTAGTTTTTAGGAGCTTAAGGCATAAAGAATATGGGTTTTTTTTGTTTTTTTTTTAAATATTTTATTTATTTATTTGACAGACAGAAATCACAAGCAGGCAGAGAGGCAAGCAGAGAGAGGAAGGGACGCAGACTCCCTGCTGAGCAGAGAGCCCAATGCAGGGCTCGATCCCAGGACCCTGAGATCATGACCTGAGCTGAAGGCAGCGGCTTAACCCACTGAGCCACCCAGGCGCCCCAGAATATGTTTTTATTATATTAATTTCAGACGGGAAAGCAAGAGCTATTAGTAAATGCTTTTTTTTTTTTTTTTTTGGACCACAAAATATCTAAAGTTTCATCTCTGACTGAGATGCCAAGGACAGGAATTTGCAATCAGTCTTAACAAAAGTAAAACTGGAGGGTGCCTCGGTAGCTCAGTCGTTAAGCCTCTGCCTTCAGCTTGGGTCTTGACCTCAGGGTCCTGGGATACAGTCCCCCATGGGACTCCCTGCTCAGTGGGGAGTCTGCTTCTCCCTCTGCTTGTGTTCCCTCTCCCATTTTCTGTCAAATAAATAAATAAAAATCTTTATTTTAAAATTTTTTTAAAGTTTTTTTTTAATTTTTATGTATTTATTTGACAGACAAGAGATCACAAGTATGCAGGGAGGCAGGCAGAGAGAGAGGAGGAAGCAGGCTCCCCGCTGAGCAGAGAGCTTGATGCAGGGCTCCATCCCAGAACCCTGAGATCATGACCTGAGCCGAAGGCAGAGGCTTCAACCCACTGAGCCACCCAGGCGCCCCAATAAATAAAAATCTTAAAAACAAATGGTAAAACTGGAAGGAATCTTAAGATATCATAATGACCCTATTTTACAGGAGGAATCAGATGAGGAAATCAGATGTCTGAAACCTTATTTTAACTAAAAAAAGGATTCCCAAAAAGGAAAAACAAAATTCTTCACGGAACTCTAATTCAAACAGGAAGCTTTAACATCTCTGTGAAAGGCTGGTCTTATCATCTTTCCACTTCATACACAGGAGAGAACTAAGGTCTGAGGAAGCTAAGCAGTTGGTTCACTTATCATCTGTCTGAATCGGCGTGTAGCTGGGAATGGAAGCCAGAACTTTAAAAGTTGGAACATTCTCTATCACAGAAGAGGCCGATCTCATTGGAAAGGGACCAGCTGGGGCTGGTGAGGGGAAGCCATATTTGGGAAGTCCCCTCATGGACTCCTGCGTTTCACAAGCAGAGTACTTGCTAAAGATTGCAAAATGCTTGCTTAAGTGAGTTACAGGTGACAGTGCAATCTTAAAAAAAAAAAACAACAACAACAATAACAAAAACAAAAAAAAAAAACACAATCCAAAACATTACAATATATCAAATTTCCTACCTTCCTCTAAAAAAAAGAGTGTCCTCAACTCCTAGAACTTCAAAATATGCTTTATTATGCGGTTCAGCCTTAAACATCCAGGAAATGCGAACAAATTACATTTAAGTTTTATTTGCGTAACCTGAGTGGTCTTTGCAAAATCGTTCCTTCAGGGTCTCGGTGAACATTAGAATGAGACTTCATTTGGACCCCTCTGTCTCTATTCAGAACGCATTTTCTGATGTATTAGCACCCTGGAACGTTAGGCACCCATTATAAATACCATAAAGGAAAAGTTCGTGACAAAATCTCAGTGTGTCTCTCTCCTCTCCACTAAACCACCAATGATGACCAACTTCTAAAGACAACTCAGCCCCTACTAAACAAAACAAGGACCCCCCCCCCCCCCACCACCACCACGCTGTGCCTGTGTCCCTGATGTTCCATCCAGCTGCTACCTAAGACACATTCCCACGGGTCACATGGCCCAGCATTTCTGATGACCGCATTCGGTGCTGTGAGGTGTTCCAACCATTACCGCATCCCCCTCCCTCTCTGTACCGTGCCCAGTGAGCTCAGGCAGGCTGGGCTGGAGCGGCGCTCGCCGTCGAGCCGGAGGGATCGATCACCAACGTGGGAACCCCACTTTGCAGTCCTCCCCGGCCGCACAGAGCGGGGTGCAGAAAGGGAGCTCGGAAGCGGGGGGACGGGTCAGGGTGTGCGCAGCGAAGGGCGCCGAGTTTGGGGAGCAGGCGGCAGGGGAAGGGGTGCCGAAGAGTTGGGGATCCCAACATCCGCAGGGGCAGAGAGCGCGGGGCAAGAGGGGGTCCGCGACTGGGGACCCCCCTCCGGTTCGGGCGGGAAAGGAAAGGCGCAGGAAATGGGCGCCAAAGAAAGAAGTGAGAAATTGCGGAGGAGGAAGTCGTCCCTGGAAGAGGAGGGGCAAAGGGGAAGCGAGGATGGAGTGTTTGCACTTTCGAGAGGGAAGGGCCGGAGCCTCCTCCGAGCCGGGCGGGGGCGGTCCCCAGGGTGCCCCGGGTCCCCGCGGCCTTACCTGAAGCGCTCCTGCCCCGCCGTGTCCCACAGCTGCAGCTTGATCCGCTTGCCCGGCTCGATCTCCAGCAGGCGGGAGAAGAAGTCCACGCCGACCGTGGGGTCGCAGGCGGGGGAGCGCAGCCCGGGGAAGCGGCCCTGCGTGAAGCGGTGCAGGAGGCACGACTTGCCCACCGTGGAGTCCCCGATCACGATGAGGCGGAACTGGTAGATCCAGATGGTCTCCATCGCTCACGTGCCCCCGCGGGCTCGGGGGCCGCCCCACCCGCCCTGCCGCCGCGGGGCAAGTTTGGCGGCGGGAACTGTCCCTTCAGCACCGCCCGGGCGTCCGCCCGCCGGCTTCCAGCATATTCCTGCGACTGCGGCCGCCGCCTGGTCCCCGCCCTCTCTGGAAAGAGGGGCGGGACCCGGCCGGGCCGGGGGCGGGGCCTCGGGCCAGGGGGCGGGGCGGGGGCCGCGGCGCAGTGGGGCGGGGAGGGAGGACCTCCCGGGCTGGCTGCGCGCGACTCCCGCCGCCGCCCTCGGTAAATCTTTCTCCCACAGCGCTCACTGGGCGCCGCCGGGTAGGTGGGTGTGGCGAGAGGACGTGACGGCGGCGGCCGCCAATAAAAATGAAGCAGGGGCTCCCCTCCGCCAGGGTCAGCCAATGAAAAGTGAGAGTCGTTTTCTTGCGGGGGGAGGGGGTGGACTTGTCGGAGTCGGGGTGGGCTCCTGCAAGTCACCGAGGCCGAAACGGGGGTCACGGGTGCTGCGCGTTCGTCCGTGGACGGCAGCGGCCCTGGGAGCTCTGCCCCTTCCCGGACTGCTGCAGGTTCCAGCGGACGGCGTCCTGCAGTGTAGTCTTGCTCAGCGCCGCCGCCGACGCGCTCAAGGTGAAGGAGCGAAGAACAATCGAAATGAATTTGCAGAGCAAGTTCTGGATGCTTCCAGCTAGCGCTTTGGCCGTGGCTCCTGCCGCCCCCGGGTATCTGCCTCACTGCTTTCAGAGCCACAGAAGAGCGAGAAGAATGCCGGGGATCACGCCATCCTCTGGGGGCCTTCCAGCCTGGAGGACAGGATGGGGGAGAGTTAAATGTTGAGATGCTCACGGAAGCTCCCATTCTTCTGGGTCCCCGTTCTGGAAATCGGAAGACCGCGAAGGGGTGTCCGCCTCGCCGAGTCAGGTCCGGGAGCCAGATACGGAGCACACCTGAATTCCGATGCGATCTCACTGGTCCTTCGTGCGCTTCTTAGAACTGGGCAATGGTGCATTCAGGGTCTAGCGTGTAAAACTTAACAACAGTTTTAAAGTGTGTTCTTGCCAAAATAAGAGCTTTTAACAATTCCCCTTTTTTCATGCCCTCATCCAAACCTGCACTATTGTTATTCATCCTTAACTTCCTTTCTTGTTTTGGAGACGAAGAAGTCGCTTTCAATATCGCATTTAATCCCCTGTCACCCAGAGGACTTTGCACTTTTTTCCTATAGTTGACCTTTTTGTCATGCTATTCATAGCTCTGATCTCCTCTCCAATCGCTTGGACTCCTCAGCCTGTAAACACTTAAAAACAAAACAAAACAAAAAGCCAATTGGGTGACCCATCATTCTATCCAGAGTTCTCTTCTAGTCTCCAGGTAAGGATGGCTAGGTGATAGAATTCTGACCAATGAGACTTAAGTAGGGCTTTTGGTAAAGTCTTACTTTTCTGATAAGGGTCCAGCACTCATACTGGCCTTCATTCTTTCTCTTTTGCTTTTCCTGCCTATCAGGAAGGTTTAACAATCATCTTGTAACTGTAGCGATGAAGGCTAGATGCTAATGATGGTGGTAGAAGAGAGAGGAAGAGCTTGAGTTCTTCATGGAATCGAGGATCTGTTGTACCATCTCTGAACATCTTGTTTGACACAAATAAGTCAATCCCTTTTTAAGCCCCTGATGGTTGGATTTTCTGTAAGGATAACCTGCAAACTATTATTTCTTGGCTTTTACAAAAACGTTCTCTACTAGTCTCCTGTATTTTTAAACCTTATTTACTGACTCCTCTTTCTGTCATCTGTTGCTTAAATATTAACGTTCCTAAGATACCCATTTTTCCTCTTTACCCTCTCCTCCTGTTTTCCATTACTTTGAGCTGCTTCTGATGACATCATCAACTCCAGTGACTCCAGTTCCTCCCGTACCCAAACCATGTGTCCTCCCCTCAATCTCTGCTCTGTCTTCCAACGACCTCTCCCCTTAGGTCTATGTTGGTTAGGATTCTCTGAAGCAATCTCCAATTAGGATGATACAAAAAGACAAATGTGGGGTGCCTGGGTGGCTCAGTGGGTTAAAGCCTCTGCCTTCGGTTCAGGTCATGATCCCAGGGTCCTGGGATCGAGCCCCGCATCGGGCTCTCTGCTCCGCAGGGAACCTGCTTCCTCCCCTCTCTCTCTGCCTGCCTCTCTGCCTACTTGTGATCTCTGTCAAATAAATAAATAAAATCTTAAAAAAAAAAAGACAAATGTACTTATCATAAGGATACAGAGGTATTTTTACATAATCCACAGGCAGGAATGCAGATGGTGTCATAAAGGGATTGGAAAGAAAGGGAAAGTTGTAAGGAACACAGGCAGCGTGGGTCTCTGTCTCTCTCCTATTTACTTCCTTCTAACATCTGCTTACTTCTTACCTCTTTACAAACCAGCTTTTTCTCCTGCTTAGTCCATATGGAAACCTATAGTTGCTGCAAGTTCTGTGTTAGATATCTAGACACATACAGAGATCGATTTACATTTTTCTCCAGAGACAATTTAATTGGCCCAGTTTGGAACAGGTGTTTATACCAAAGATATATGGCCAGTGAGATGGGAATATGTAGCAAGCCAGTCCCTTTGGATTCTGGAGAAAGGATTGTTCAGTGGCTTCCCTTTGTGCCAAAAATATCTCTATAATGTCGAAAAGTGAAATCACCTATTTTTTAAAAGATTTTATTTATTTGACACAGAAAGAGACAAGCAAGGGGAGCTGCAGGCAGAGGGAGAGAGAGAAGCAGACTCGGCGCTGAGCAGGGAGCCCAAAGCCGTGCTTGATCCCAGGACCCTGAGATCATGACTTGAGCTGAAGACAGATGCTTAACCGACTAAGCCACCCAGGCGTCCCTGAAATCATATTTCTTGCTACGTTTTTCCCCCTATACTTTAGAGATGAGTTGGTATGTTCAGTGGCTATTCTAGCTGCCTAGACAAGTGAGAGCTTATGGTGCTGAATCGGGGGGCCAGGGGTCTGTGCCGTGGATAAGGAAGGGATGGAATTGGTCTAAAGACAGAAGAATGTAGAGCTAAGGATAATCTAATATGTAGCATCCTGGACAAACCTAAAATGGGGAGGAAAGTAGCAGGTCAAGTAAAGCCCCTTAAAGGGACTAGGTAGATAGAGCAGACCATAGCTACATGTCAACCGAATGGAAATTGGGGAAGCCAGTCCAAAGGAAGGTCTAAGTGGGAGATCAGGAACATAGTTAGATAAACCATTAGGCAGAGGAAGAGGCATGGGGCTTTCTGTAAGGTCCCTGGCCTCAGGACAGATGTAACAAGGATCTAAGGTCTAAGGTAGTTTAGACAGCACATTTGGTTGCTTATGAAGCAATAGCAGCTTCATCCCTCTTGGACTCCTCTCTCTCCTTTGGCATTTTCAGCCAATCATCAAATCCGGGTACTTTTACCTCAGCAATATCTTTCAGATTTGTGACCTTTTCTGAACTTCCCACTGTCATTGTCTTTATCAATTTCTTATCACTTCAGGTCCTGTTCAATAACCTCTGCAGTAGTTTCCCGAGGGTGTGGTAACAAAGCGCCACCAGCCAAATGGCTTCAAAGAACAGAAATTTATTGTGTCAGAGGCTAGAAATCCAGTGGGTTCCAGGCTTGATACCTTCTTCGGGCTGTGAGGGAAAATCTGTTCCAGGCCCCTTTCCTAGCTCCCAGTGACTTGCTGGGCTATCTTTGGCAATCCTTGGCATGTAGGAGGACCATTCCAGTCCTCCACTGTGACGTGGCATTTTTCCTGTGTCTCTTCACGAACCCTTCCTTCCGTGAGTGTCTGTGTCTGTGTCTAAATTTCCCCGTTTCTATGAGGACACCAGTCCTATCAGATAATGACCTCATTTTAGCTTTGAGCATCTGTGAAGGCTGTTTCCAAATGAGGCACATTCTGAAGTTCTGAAGGACTTCCTTGTATCACTTTTGAGTGATATAATTCAATCTGTGACAGCCTCCCATATCCTCACTCACCCTAAGATAAGGTCTGAATAATAATGTAATACACGTCCCAATCCTAATGTGGCCTCTGAGATCTAGTCAGTGACCCCTCTATTCATGCTAGACTTTCCCCCTGCCATGCTATTGTGTCCTCTTCTGATATCCTTTTCAACCTCCATCTGGTCAGCAAATTTCTCTTCATCTTTCAAGGCCCAGGACAAATATTATCTCCCCTTTGAAATCTTTCTCAACCACTTACATCCTCAAGGAGAATTGATTGTTCACTCATTTGTGTTCCTACAGCCGTTAAGCAAGGAGTACTCTGTACTTCTAGGATATCTCCTATCTTCTATAATATATCTCATATTGAATTATGGCTCTTGGTTTGACTGTCTGGCTAGATAGCAAGTTCCTCAAGGCAATTACTAATTCATTGTTATTTCCCCAGCACACACAACAGCCCACACACTAGTGGTGCTCTGTAAATGCTCACTGAGTGGAAATGAGCTGTTAACCATACTTCTCTATGACCTTGAACTTCTATATATGTGCGGTCTGCGCTTAACCCAATGAGCTTCATGATGAGCTGAAATTGAATAATTTTATGGTCCCTAAGATTTGCCTTTGAATAATCCAGGAACAATTTCAATTTTAAGTAGATTTGGATTATGCTGAGTACAAATAATATTTTAATGAGAAGTGTTTATAGAAGGTTTAGCTTAGAAAATAAGGCACATAGTTAGGGCATATTTAATTTAAGAGAGCTGCTTACACTGTTACTCAGGATATACTGCTTTGATATGTATATATTTTAAAATCAAGTGAAAATATGGGAAGTGCCAAAAAGGAGGATCTAGCCTCTTTCTGTTGTTTATTGCCCAGGAGTCAGGAGACCTGGGTTCAGGTCCCTGTGTTGCTACAGACTTTGGGGCCTTTTTACAATTACTCAATCTCTGTGTTTCTCTGCTTCCTCACCTGGACACTAAAACAAGTTGAACTACGTCAGTGTTTTTCAAACTGGAAGTTATAAAATCAATTCCGTGGGTAACTGCCAGAACTAAAAACAAAATAAAACACCAGATTACATCACACATAATAAAGATGTTTGTTTTGGGGCTCCTGGGTGGCTCAGTCAGTTAGGTGTCTGCC